GGCTTGCTTTTTGACGCCGGCAGAAACCTACCGCCTTCCTGTCTGAGAGAAATTTTTGCCTTAGATATTAACTTACTGCCTCAGGTGATGAATGTCCTAAACTAGTAAGCGGTAGAGTTCTGCCTCCTTCAAAAAGCAAGCCTTACCTAAAAGGGAGCGACCCTTACCTACTAAGGTAGGCGGAAAGTGGGCGGAGGGTGTGGCATGAGCGGAGACCGGTGTGGAGGAAGCCTGGCTGGTGTGGCGGTAGCGCCTCCCGTTTCTAACTGATACGTGCTGATCTTACGGAAAGTCGGCATATTTGACTCCGGCTGATCGGGACTCACTCTCTCTAAGCAGCATAACCGCTTTAATATTTTTGAAAGCAGAGATATACTTTTGATAGACTTGTATGATTTTTTAGCTCTCCTCGACGGTGTATATGTTGTTTCTGCGACTTTCGAAGTTTCTGTTGCGGTGGCATTAGGCAATAGTTTCGCAACGAAACAGAATCCGACAAGAGGAGATGAGCGGAAATGCTTCGGACATTATTCATTTTGTTCTTGTAGTACCATGCCATATGCTGCTTGGAACTGATCGTGCATTCGCTCTTGGCATTTTGCAATAAATCTCACAAATTTGGATCAGGGCTATATATTATTGTTATTAATCTTCTGGTCGAATCACTATGGGCTGTCTTCGTTGGTGGTTTGGTTTATCCTGTTCTGATATTATCCTATCACTGCAGTAATCTACCTAAGAAAGACAAGCACCAGTAAATCTGTCACCCTCGCAGGGTACTCCGGAAAGCCATAATTCGCTCGAATGATGCCTCCAAGGCTGTTCGAGATAAGCTTCCATTCTTCAACCCCGCAACGAGTCCTTCTGTCGCCATCAGGCCCTCGGTCAGGTTTCGTGAAGCACAAAGGATCATGTCTGCACCTGCTTGCTTGGCTAGAAGTGCTACTGTAGACCAGTCCCCATACGGCTTTACTGCTCCAGCCTCAAGCGCATCCGTCATGATCACGCCATTGTATCCTAATCTGCTTCGTAGTTCTCCCTCAAGCCATTTCCTGCTCAATCCTGCCGGCCGGTCATCTACCATGATATACTTGCTCCATGAGGCCATGATCAAACCAAGGCCTGCCTGGATAGCTGAACGGTATGGGATTTCATCCACAGCTCGAATCTCGTCGAGAGTTAGGTCAAGAGTAACAACGCCGGCGTCTGTGTCGTTGCCAGCTGGATTAGCACCGTTTCCAGGGAAGTGCTTTCCAGCTGCCGCAATTCCTTTTTTCCGCATAGCTGAGAGGAAAGAAACCGCACAACGGGTGACAAGCGAGGATGTATTCCCAAATGATCGTTGCCAGTAGTTCATGAAGCTTGACTCCTCGCGGTAAACATCCAATACTGGAGCAAGATTAACGTTAACTCCGGCTGCTACAAGGGCATCAGCTGCAGCACTGCCTCCGTGCGACGATGCGAGAGTAGGGTCTCTAGCGAGCCCCATCTCTTTAGCAGACTCCCATGGTCCTCCGTTGGTAATACGCTTCACATAGCCGCCCTCCTGGTCGATCATGATTGGCAGTGGGAGGCCCTTATACGCAGGGGATTTGGCGTGTGCTTGTTGTAACTTTCTCATCAATACTGATGTTTCTGTCAAATTTGTCTGGTTGATGTTTTCGCGAAAGAGAATGAGGCCCCCGACTTTGCCCTCATTCACGAGATCGAACAAGGCATCCGGCGGACTGATGCCGGGATAGGTGTAAACGATGTGCTGTCCGGCAAGGACAGCCAAGTCTTCGGCTCCCGACGCGTGGCTGAAGGCACTCGCAGCAAGAAGGGGGGTGGCCACGAATGGGAGATACCTAAGGTAGAACATTATGGACTAGTATACGTGAACGTGAAGTATGCACTTGTAGACGAGCTGTGTTCGTAGCGAAGAAGAGTTGTATATATGCTACGGAGTATACTACATTGCCTATTGACCCTCGTCGGAGTCATACGGACACCCCAATTGCTGATAGGGTGCATTTTCGCTGAGTCGGAGTTAGATTCGGAGTCTCGGAAACGCTGATTCGTAACAGGTAATTACTAGCGTGCCATCACCGACGCCACATCGCCCCGGGCAGTGGAAGGGAGATGCAACAAATGACACTGAGCAATAAGATATGCGTGTATCGCATTGACATGCCTGCTTACAATTGTACAAATAGTATTTCTGGCCTGCTTTTTCTATTATAAGAATAATCTGATTTTTCAAGATAGGATTCTTCAGTGAACAATTTCCCTGGACAGGACAATCCGCATTACTCTTCTAGGGAGAGAGTAATAGTAAATGTGTCTCCTTCTTCCCTTTCTATATTATCTTTACCGTACGAAGCCACTTTGCGGGCAGCTGTAGGAGATATTAGAACTGTATATTAGCTATATATATATTTACGCTGTTTAAGTAATACTTCTACTACAGGGGCCTAATATGATAGTTCCAGGCTGAACTTTTAAATGATAGCCACTGTAAATTCTGCAATAAACCGGTATTTACAATATACATTGGCGAAGATATGTCGAGGGAAAGAGTTGCCTAAATATTCGGTAATATAGGAAATATTCCAATGGTCTTTTTCCGTAAGTACCTGCTTTGCGATTGAAGACCTGGACCGTCATCGTGGAGAGAATGGACTCGACTCTCAAGTACGGGATGATGAAAGAGAAGTGGCCACGGGAAAGGACGCAAGAAAGTCATCATACCTTGTTACATTGCTCCCAAGAGCAGTAGAAACCGCGTCCGCCGAGTTCCACGGCTGGGTGAAGGAAGGGCCAAATCAAGTGCTGTTGGAGAGGTGGGCCGCCACTTGGGACAGCGAGGAGTGACCCGACTTTGCAATACAATAAAACACAATAAACACAATCTTGGGAGAGTGGGAAACTGTGATGAATAAAATGAGGCAGTAAGAAACAAAATTCGAGGATATTACTGTTACATATAGAGCGATGACCGAACCAAACCGGGAGGAGAGTGGAAGCAGACAAAGGAATGGCATAA